AAGAAGTTAGCAAAAGTCCAGGAAAACAAAGACACTTTATTGCAAACTAGTCATTGAAAGGGATGCAGTGGCTAAGATGCTGAGCTTGTCAATCAGAAGAGTCGGCAGTTTGGCTGTTCAAATCCCTAGCACCACATAACAGAGTGAGCTCCAGTTACTTGTCCCAGCTTCTGCCAACCTAGCAGTTCGAAAGCATGTAAGTAAAAATGCAAGTAGAAAAATGGGGACCACTTTGGGGAGAAGGTAACAGGGTTCCGTGTGCCTTCAGTGTTTAGCCAGGCTGGCCACATGACCACGGAGACGTCTTCGGACAGTGCTGGCTCTTTGGCTTTGAAACAGAGATGAGTACCGCCCCCTAGAGCTAGAAACAACTAGCACGTTTGGGTGCGAGGAGAACCTTTACCTTTACCTTAGTCATTGAAAGGCAAGGGATCATTTTTGAAAAGGTTCTGTCCCTGATCACCACTCATTTCAAAAGACAGACCCACCATGAGAAAGTTCTCAGATTGCTATTTCTATAGATAGGCATACTGCAAATAAAATTAGCAGGTGCTTTGACGGTTACCTCAGATAATCCATGTAATTGTGCTGCTAGGACCTGAAACAGGTCAACCTACCATACTTAATGAATGATAAAAACAAGTATACGGTATCTCTATTTTTGTGTTCTGTTATATATATATATATATTTAGATAGTTGATCTATCTAATTTATCTAATTTAGTTTTAAGGTTTAAATAGCGCCTAACTTCACCATGATTTTGGTATGGGGTACCTTCTATTTTAAAGTTCCAAAGGGAGCATGTGCTGTCCTTGTACTAGTTTCTGTAAAAAAAGAATATGTGAAAAGGGTGTTCATAAAGGGATTTTTTTATAATTAATGCTGAATTGAATTTGATTTAACTCATGGTGCACCTCAAAAACACTGCACTAAAAATATTTTTCTAAGTATCATTTGAGGCTGCATTTGTACAGTTCAGTCTGTACTGTTCTGAAGAAGAATAAATGTTCCCTCTAAAGTGGGTTAGATAGAATAAAAATTATGGTGTGAACGTGGACATGTGTTTTTATGGTGGCTGCTGCTTTTTGAAGACCATACTGATCTATTCTAATGACCTCCTTCTCTCCTTTCTCCACCTCCCTGTCATTCAGCCAGGCATAAAAGGTAGCTGCAAAAGCATGAAAATCATTTTCTACCAGGTTGTTGTATGATGAATGACAGTTCTTTTTGCAGTTACATGCATCCAGAACATGAGCATTTGTTCAGGTACAGCGTGGACATTTACAAGTGAACCTGTGACTAAAAAGAGATCTGAACTCAAACTTCTAAAACCCAGTGCTACGTATTGGATCACAGAGACAATAGAGGGATACATCAAAAGGGTCTCTAATGATTCCCGATTTAAAAGTTATAGGATATGGATGCTGTTCCTGAACTATCACAGACACATGCAGAATATTGAATACAGATGGAAGCTTTTTTAAAAAAAAGATGAGCAATGACTGACTGTGTTGCTATGTATCTTTTTTTCCCCCTGTTCTTCACCCACCCCCCACCCCCCCACCCCCGCTTGCAGGAACTCTGGAACTTTTGCCTGGGGTTTTTCTTTAATGTCTGACAGCCTTCTCTTTACCTTAGCATTGAAAACCCCATTTCCTCACCCATAAATCATCGCTCAAGGGGGAAGAGGTGGGTCAGGTAGCCCTGGGGAATAAAACTGGAGGAAAGGGAAGGTGTGAGTGGGCAGAAAGGTTAAATAATTCAACTGTTTATTCTTCTCATCATTCTGGAGTAGAGATTTGCATGTCTGAGAACGTGAATGCTTTTGCTTTTGTAAGAAACCTCTTCCATTAGCCTTTGTAAGCCCCTTCCTTTTCCTTACCTCCACCTCTTTCCTCCAGAAAAATATCCCTTCTTGCGCTTCTCTGCTCCTCCTTCCCAGTCCCACCACAGTCACAGATATTATGCATTGTTCAGGGCTAGAAATGTGACAGCCTGGATAGTCTTAGCTTCCAGAGCTCATTAGTAAAGAGCAGCATGCTCTCTGGAAGAAGTGTCAGGAGTCTCCTTAGCAAGCGCTGTGTTGAATTGGGAAGCTGAGCCAATGTAATGTTGCTTCAGTGGCGTGCCTGCAGCTCTCAACAGTAGCAGAAGAGTTGATTCTTTGTTTGGGCGGAAAAAAAGTGGGGGGGAGAGATGTGGAAGCATTCAGAGTTAGCCCTTCCGTCACCAAAACATTCCGTGATTTTATGCTGTGAGCACTTCTGCTATAATCATGTGGGAATGAATGACCAGAGTGCTGTTCAGGAAGGAGTCGATGCATTGTACAATTTTCCCCCGCTGCCACCAGAAGAACATCCTCACACAAACGTTCCCAAGTATGTTGTTCTGAACAACCTTTCTCTGCCTATGCCTAACATAAGGTTTTATTAATTCACAATACCCTGAGTTTCGCCCTCCATCTGTCATGTCACCTGCCACCAGACTGCTGTCCCTTCCGTGCAGTTAGCAAAACAGAAATAATAAGAAATCATTTCAGTGGTTCAGTGTCAGATTGGAGGGAGAGGGTGGAAATTATCCCCAAAGCTGCTGGCAAGCACGTTTTTTGTGTAAAGAGGCCTCAAACCACCGGAGAATTCCTGGATTGTCTCAGGCGGCTGTGTGTGATGTCCATCATGCTGTATGAACACCATCTGTTCAGTATTATACTCTCAGTTGCCAGGCTACCTGCTCTGTGCTGTAACACTTGACTGGCTGGCTGAATGTTAGCAGCATTATCCCAGAAGTACTAAGGGGGAGGAGGAGGGGGAGGGAACAGTAGTCATGATTAAGCCATCTGCAAGCACAGGGGAGGGTGGAAACAGGGTTGGGGGGGGGGAGGCAGAGCGCCCAGGGCAGCAATCAGTCACCAATAGGCTAACACAAGCCATCAAGAATTGGGCGCATGATGCCACCTGCTGGTGCATTAGAGAAACATTAGCCAAGTAGATGTTCTCGTACTCCTCCTCTTAATCCAGAGCTACCTGCAGTTTTGATAGATTTAGAAGGAAAAGTCAAATACACTGGCATCCTTTGTAGCACATATCCATTACTAGGTGCTTAAGAAGCTTTTAAAAATACTCAGAGCCTTATGAGCTGCAATAGATGCCTCTCAAGTTCCACTTGAACCTTTCAGGACAAAAGAGAAGATGCCGTGTTGAATATGTTTCCTAAAAGGCACATTTCTTCCTCTGACTTTCTCTTTCTAGGCTAATTAAATTCTAGCTTCCTATTATGCATCTTTGCTGTATGATCATTGCTATTGGTCAAAGTGCTTTGCTACAAAGGTTTATTTCAGCCCCCTCTTAGGAGTTTTCTGGCCAAAGTCTGCAGATAAATATATATGTTGGTTTGAGATCGGCAAGACAAGAGCACTCACAAGAATATTTTTTAAACTCAAAAGGATTACTTTCTTGAATCCTACATTCAGTCACAATGAGCTTGCACTATTTAAATCTCATTGTAAGTTTAAAAACAGTCCATTTTTAGTTAGTTTCCTCTAATCATCATGAAACACAGTGGAAAAAAATGTTCTGAAAGGTAACGACCTAGTAGGACAAGGTTTTTACAGCTATACCTTTAACTGGAAAAGTATCATAATAATAACCTTTCCCTCAGTGAGTTTCCATGCTGAAGCCCTTTTCATAACCTCATCTTATCTAGAGATTATTATGATGAGACTACGGAGACTTGATTATATAGATAGGGGGAAAAAACATCTGATACCGTTTTGCTACAGCATCAGCTCACTCTTTCACAATGATTGTACAAATTAATATGAAACCTACTGGATTGACATCCAGAAGTTAAAAGAAGACTGAGCTGTGCTTGCAAGAGATTATCATTGTTTTTAATCCAACCTCTGTGCCATTTCTCATATATATATATCTATTCTGCATTTATTTTATTTTGATTTATTTTAAAAAAGGTATATGGCCACACAGCTCAATCAAATATATGTGAGAGAGGAAGAATAATGGAGAAAGTCATGATTAATCTATTTACATATCATAAATCCAAGGTAGGAAAAACAAATCAAAATTTAGGTAGACTTCGAAATTCCTGTATCTGAATCTCAAAGTTGTTGATATCTAATTTCAGATTTACCTCTTAATCCTTTTCTCCTGCCCTTTTCTAATTCAGGCCATGTTTCTATATTTTTGGCCTTTACTCTTTGCCTGGGCTAAACACTTCATCTGTTATTGTGCTCATCACCATTGACAACTTAAGATTGATTTTCCAATGTTATGTGCAAGAGATTTTCTTTCCTGTTGGTAGACACTTATTGGTGTAGTTAAAAAGAGAGAAATTCAGAATATAATGTGCTTTGCTTTGTAATGAATTATTCTGTATTCTACCAACACAGAAAGTAAGTTTGACACACATTCTGTATTTTGCAAAACTGTTATCAGAGTGGTTAACACAAGTGTTCACAAATGTTTAAAATCCAAAACATTGCAGCAACTGGTTTTGTTATAGTTGTTTTTCCATAGCATGCAACTTTCTTAATTACAGAAGTTTACCAGTTCCTAACACTTCTAAGTTTAATTCAAAACATTGCAGTAAACCTTATACTTTCTCTAATCTGGTCGAATCATTTGGAAAGACCCTATTTGTGGGTTTACATCATTAGAGATTCTACTGGCATTTGTGCCAGGAAACATTTTCTATAATGATGTCCAGATTTTATAATTCTTTGGGGACTCTCTCAGGTCTTTTTTCATATCAAACACGGAACTTGATGCAATGGGATACTGAGTGGGATTTAGGTAAATAGTTATTCCAAGTCATAGGAAGAACATTAAGTTGATGACTGATTTCTGGCATTGCTCTTTCCGTTTTCTGTTCCCTTCCTCATTATTCTAATTTTTGCTAAAGAGAATAATTAATATATTTATTTTTAATGTATAGTATACCCGTACACTATCTAACTTATACCTTTATATATTTCATTGTTTAGGACCAGCACACTGTGGCATTGTCTCGATCCACAGGTCCCATGCAGTCCGCTGTACCCTCAGGACCCAGTAATGTGGGCACAAATCCTGGCAATGCCAATTTCTTGAGCAACCAACCTCAAGCAGCCATTATGAAGCAGATGCTGATTGAGCAAAGGGCCCAACTCCATATGATGGAGCAGCAGAAGCAACAATTTCTTCTAAGGGAGCAACGGCAGCAGCAGCACATCTTGGCGGAACAAGTACTGTGTATCATTTTGCTACATATCTTAAATATTACTCTAAAGAAAAGAAGAATTAGGGGTGACATGATAGCAGTATTCCAGTATTTGAGGGGCTCCCACAAAGAAGGGGTCAAATTATTCTCCAAAGCACCACCAGAGGGCAGTACAAGAAATGGCTGGGAACTAATCAAAGAGAGAATCAACCTAGAATTAAGGAGAAATCTCCTCACAGTGAGGACAATTAACCAGTGGAACAGAAATCGTGGGCTCTCCATCTCTGGAGGCTTTTAAGAAGAGACTGGACAGTCAAATTGACTGAGATTGTATAGGTTCTCCTGCTTGAGCAAGAGTGGGCTGACTAGAAGACCTTCCACCTCTGTTCTGTTCTGTGCTGTTCTGTGCTGTTCCCAACATTGATAGCCTTGGGGTTCCGCAGCACTTTGAATTGTATCTCAAAAGTTCCTTTGAGACAGGCAGAATTAAAGTACAGGTAATCCTTGACTTGCAACAGTTCGTTTAGTGACTGCTCAAAGTTACAACAGCAGTGAAAAAAGTGACATGATCATTTTTCAACTTAGAATCGTTGCAGCATCTCTATGGCCACATGATCAAAATTCGGACATTTGGCAACTGGCTCATCTTTAGGACAGTTGCAGTGTCCCGGGATCATGTGATCATCTTTTGTGACCTTCTGAGGAAAAAAAACCTCCTAACACTTAACAATCGGGTTACTAACTTAAACAGCTGCAGTGATTCACTTAACAACTGTGGCAAGAAAGTTTGTAAAATGGGGCAAAATTCATTTGACAACTCTTGCACTTAGCAACATAAATTTTGGGCTCAGCTGTGATCATAAGTACAGGACTTCCATGACTGCAGTAAATTAGGAATAAGAAAGAAAGGTAATAAGGGGGGAAAGAGCCACAATAAAAAAAAAGTTTACATCCTTCCAACTTCTCTTTAAAGCTGATGTACTTGCTGAAAGACCAATACTACTGGATGTAGGATATTTGTCTTGGGTCAATATTATTTTGGTGTCTTAAAAAGAGACAACTTTTATAATTATTATATTTTTACCTTTAGGAAACAATTCCTTTGCAATTTTCTCACTTAGATGCCAAAATAGCCATGTTTGGTATAATACATTTTGGCAAAATTTCCTTACTTTTCTCACATAGTTTATCTTTTCTTTGTCCTTTGAAATATTATGGCTAGCATTTACATTTTGTTTAAAGCAGGAGTAGGAAGCTATGGCCCTTTTATGACTTGTGGACTTCAACTCCAGGTTGCCAGGTTTCAGGCAGTGATCCCATGTCCAGGCATTTGGTTCTTTTGGATCCAGTGATAATAAGCACACCAGTAAATCAAGGAATTTTAAACTTAATTATTAGTTAAAATAAACAGATTGAAAAGTATGTGTCAGGCACAAAGGATCAGGACCATGTATTAAATTGCAGCACATAAAATGTATTCAAGACTGTGCACAAGAATCTAGCCAACTAATGGTCAGCACTTAATTGGCACTAGATAGAGGTTTAAAGGAGGTGTGGACTTGTATCATTTGTAGCAACTTAAGGATTCTAAGCTGATGACATGTTTAATTCTGCCCCCAGCTGTGCCTGTTCTTCTCCTATAGCATAACATAAAATGGATACATACCAAGCAAGATAACAGCCAAATCTCTTATAAGCTGCCAGGAGCCGCTAAATAATAATAGCAGAGATACCACCATGGGTGGCCGGTTTGCAGCCAGCGTACAAAATAGAATATTGGAATAGAATCAGATCCCTTGATCTATGCAAGGCAATCTTCTGCTCACTTCACTAGCCACTTCCACATATCAGTGCTCTGCTATTGGCTCTCATAGCAACCCAATGGGCAACTTTCCCTTCTTAACCCCTTTTCTTTTGCTTTTCTAGCATTTACAGCAGCAGTCACATTTGCCTCGGCAGCACTTTCAGCAACAGCAGCGAAATGCTTATCCAGTCCAACCAGTCACTCAGTTTCCAGGTGAGAGATAAATACTAGTAGGTTCAGAAGCTAACTCTTTGATGTTTACATGCTATTTCTGTATATAAAGATTATCTATGTAAAACAGCCACTACTTTGTTATTTTAGAAAGGCATCTTCAGAAGGAACAATCTTATCTAACACAAGTAGGCAGCAGCCACTAAGACTTTGCAGCAATCTGGATATAATGAAGAAAAAGGTGATGCGCACACATAGGCTCACCTATTTGTGATTTCACATCTATTTGTGATTTCTTTACTTCTTTCTAGGCTCACATGGCTATTATTATCCAGGAAAAGATATCTTTGACTTAAGGAGTTGCTGACAGGTATAACAAGCATATCTGGATGTGTTCTGACACCCCCCCCCTCCCATTACCCTTTGAATCCAGGTCACCATACAGTCCTAGATGCTGCTGCTTTTCTCTTCACTGTCAACAGGCACAAAAAATACTTTAAAAAAAAACTAAATTACAAGATTGGTTACAAAAATTCTTTGCTGAAAAAATACAAACAATTCTGATTAGTGGAGTGATCCTCTTAGATATTCTGCATATTGCATTAGAAATGTAACCATCTTGTAGTGCCAGATGGCAGGAAGAGACAGAAACAAGCAAGCATATTCATTACACACAGTCTGCCCTACCGCAATCTGCAAGCCATTAATGAGAGTGGAGGTAGCCTCAGTTCATTGTAGCAGTTAAGGCACTGAGCTAGAAAATGGATGACTGAGTTTTAGTCTTGCCTTAGGCCGGGGGTCTTCAAACTTGACAGCTTTAAGACTTGTGGACTTCAACTCCCAGAATTCCTCTTCCAGTCATGTTAG